ATCTAGACCTTGAATTGAACGGAGTTTGGGACATGGTACTATAATCTAACCCTTAAAGATTAAAATTTAGGTCTTAATTCAATAATCTCATTCACTAAGATCAACCAGAGCGTATTTCTAGTGAGACTTATTTATATAGACAATGAATAATTTAAGTTTGGGGCATGATATTATACCTTAACCTCTAATTGATAAATCCTAGGCATCGATTTTCTAAACCCTAACCCGAATTCAATAGAAGAGAAAACAATAATTGACCGTTGAGATTGGTCGGAGCTCATCGAAGTACATCTAACAGCTAGGTCATTGGGAGCATCCGAGTCCTCTCCCTATATATATGGTTCAAGTTATCATACACCACCTTTCCATACGCCCCTCGAGTTTTACTATTGACAATGAATTAACGGGATTTTGGCATGATACTATACCCTAACCGCTAGTGGGTTAACCCCAATCCATAATTTTGTAACTGAAACCATATGTTTCATTTAATCTAACATAATAACCAATAGTTCTGATTCGTTGAAATATATCAAATTATATCTAATAAGTGTTAATGCATGTGTATATAATACGCTAGGCGAGCCACACATCATCAATTCACAAGAGTTTGGGGAATGGTACTCATTTAGTCATTTATAAGGGTCAGACTGCAATACTCATAGAGTATACAATACTTATAATGATCCTAGTGAGATGAAGCTATCTAGACCGTGCATTATATAAAAGCTAGGGATATGGTGCTATACCCTAACATATAATGGATCAATCTCAATACCTAATCCTCTTAAACCAAACCATCAAATCGATGTAATGAAAATCAATCATTGACGGTTCTGATTGGTTGAAGTCCATCAAAGTATATCCAACGACCAGTTCACCTAGAGTATACCATACTCTAAGATATGGTATTCTTTAATTAATAATAATATTATTATTTAGTAACTGGCATACTCTATGAGTATATCATACTCCAAGTGATCAAGCCTTTAGGTGTACTTTGTTGTACTTCAACAAATAAGAGTTTTTTATTAATATTTTTTTATTTATTAAATCGTTCTTTGGGTTTTGGTTTAGAGAATTGTGGCATGAGGTTTATCCTTACGAGGTTAGGGCATATTATCATCTAGACACCATAAATTTAAAAACAAACTCACCCACTCACATTCTTCTTACAAAACAATGAACCATCCATCTCCAAACCCTCCAACCCAAAATATAATCAAAACTCTAAAGAACAAAATTAAGTCGTAACAAGGTAGCCGTACTAGAAGGTGTGTCTGAATCACCTCCTTTATGATTTTCCTAATCAACATGCTTGATAACTGCGTAATCCTAGAACCTATTTCTATAAAACCTAAACCGTAATTCTCGAATGCGTGAATCCGAGACCTTAAACTCAAATCAGTGAATCTTAGACCCTAATTCTCTTTACATTAGACCATAAGAGTAAATACACTAAGAATAATGAATGACAGTTCTGATTTGTCGAGATATCCAACGTACCTCATGCATCATATTACGGTTAAGGGAATTAGGGCATATGATTTAGTATTCGAGTCAGAATATAGTACCTTTAACCCAAAATTTGATTAATTTAAGATCTGGATAATGTTAATTTAATAAGGGTACGTAATATATCCAAATTCATTGACGGTACTATAGAATTTTTGGTATATATACACTATTAATTATTATATTTAAAGAAAACCAAAGATTTTTTAATTATTAGTGGGTAATGCTTAGTCTTTCACTTCTATGCTTATTATTCTCAAATTTTAATGCAATTATTAGCCATTGAGACAACCCTCTCCAAACCCTCCGGAGAAAAGTACCTATATGCTGCAACAGATACAGTTGCATGGTTTGCCGCAAGCCAGCAACTTTGCCAGACAAAAAATCGAAGCTTAGGCTGGATATTGTACATTCTAGAGGGATCCTCCTGCCAAATCATTTTATGAGCAATTGGGGACGTAGGAAGAGGAATAGCCAAAATTTCCACAACTTTCTTTGGAGGAAAACAATACTCCAAGCATTCCAAGCACCACCCTCCATTCGGCGAGGATCTAAAATCTGAAACTTTTTCCAACCTAGTGAGGTAAACTGCGGAGTGCACCTGGGCCTGCTCCCAGCGCATACCTGGGATCCAATTAACCCCTATCATAGGAACAACATCCCCCAAGCCGATTTTCCAGCTATATATATGGACTGTATAAAAGCTAATTGATTAGTGAAAAAACAATTAAAAAATCTATAAAAATAGATGAAAGTCTATTAAATATTATTGGATGAAGAATTAAGTTACATAACCCATACTAATTGCTCTTGGTACTAGTTATTCAAGGTCCAAGATCAGGTTGGTTACTCAGCTATGAGTAACTAAATATGTGACCTTAGTTTTGAGTGGGTCTAGAAAATCCACATATAAGTGTTGAGAATTAAAGACATGTATCTTCCCTATTTTTGTAATCGGCTCTTATATTATTCATTCTAACTTTTTTTTTTTGCACAGATGGAATGAGTTTGTTGTGGTCTACAAAATGAGATCTATTTTCAATATTTTTTGAGAATTGTTTTCATACCTCTTGTTACCAACTCCATATCATATAGTATCTTCTTCGTTGTTAAGTCATTTTTTAAAATATTTGCACTGAAAGAACGAGTTCATCATATGATTTATTGGATCTACAAATTTCTGAGCGAAAAAAATACAAGACCAAAAAATACCACCCCATACCACCAAGGTTGGTATATTGTGGTACATAATGTTTAAAGTCGTAAATGACAGTTAGTACACTCATATTATCATATATTCAACAATCGTACAGTCTGGTATGTTCATACCACCAACCACCATGGTAAACTTTCATATCATATGTTATACTCTTATTTAATACCAATCAATACCACCATGATATGACTCGCAGAAAATGTCTCAATTTTTTTTGCTTAAAAATATATAAAAGTGTATAACATTTTAAAAAGCACAATTAATCTGATTTATTTGTTAAAAGAATTTAAATTCTGATTTAAAACGAGAAAAAATCTACCCTTAAAAATTAAAAGAAAATATTAAACTTTTCATAAATGAGAGAGGAGTGCTGATAATTCTATTTGGATCACTTATAGTTACTCACCAACTAATTTCTCTCTTAATTCAACTAGAGTGAATATTAGAGGTCTTTGTGCCAAAGGTAATATAACTTAGCGGTGAAACCGTTGGTCTGGTTGGTTTAGGATGTGAGAGGTGGAGGTGGTGCTCCCCAAGTTTAGTAGATCACGCTGTCACAAAGTGGCATATGGGGTTGAGGTTCCTCGGTTAAAAAATAAAATAAAAATATTGGCTAAATTGCAAGTTTGGTCACTCGAATTGCTACAAAATTTCACGTTTGGTCACTCGAATTCGTTTATTCCATTCGTAGTCACTTAAATTAGTTGAACAGTCCAAGTTCGGTCACTCTCCGTTAACCTCCGTCAGATTCCGTTAGCGCCGTCAGTTAACTGCTGATGTGGCTAACAGAAATGCCTAGTCATCCAATTTTAACCCAAGAAAAAACAAAAATTGACCCACCACGTCAGAAAAACATGCCACCTCATATAAACACAACCCAACCCAACCAACCTAAAAAAACCGTTAACCCACCCAAAAATCGAACCCGTCGTCTCGACTGATCTTCCTCAGTTGCTGGGGTTTCTTAATCAGGGTGTACTCTTCCCATCCAGTCATCCTGGCGACCAAATCGCCGGCCTTGAATTGGGGTTGTCGGAATCCACCACCTCCTACACCCCAAACCCTTCAATCGGCTGCAACGATTAGAACCCAAACATCATAAATTGATCAGGAAATTAGGGAAAGTAAAAACAAGGCATTTGACCATTTGAGGGGAAATTGCGGATTTACTCGGGAGGGAATGAAAGAGGTGATGTAAGAGGCAGGGGAAGGAAGGCGCATTCGGCCTCTCATTTACGGGTCGCAAGAGAGGTAAAGATTCTTGACGAGGAAACCGCCGGACCCTTTTGGGGCTTTGAGCTCCGGCAGCTTGGAGACCGTCACCGCCATGTCGTCTTTCGTCGGGGCTTTGCCGTCGACCTCCTCGACCCAACCCTCCACTGCGAGATCCTCAAGTACATCATCATTCATACCATACCCTGTCCAAAAAAAAGAGCATCTGTTTACTTATATCTCTGAAAAGTCCCATATTCGAAACCAGCACTGCCGACGACACGACACCCCTGCAACAATAAGAGTGCATCCATTTGCACCCCGGTCAAAACAGAACCGCTGCTCCTGCTGGCTTGGCTCGCTCGATAGAACTCCAGTCTTCAATCGTCGATTGGGTTGGGTCGAGGAGGCCGTCCCAATCGCTGATTGCATGGAGCTCGTGCCGCCGCCCGGAGATGTCCCGCTTGGGGGAACAAAGTGGGAGTCATGTGGTCGCCCCAATCGATAAGATCGGAGGCCGTGTAGGGAACCTTGAGGAGTCGTGTCGGTGATTTGTGCGGGCGGCTACTGTTCCTCTTGGCGGCGACGGTTTGGGGGTTATTGGATCCGGCGAGAGGGGGTTGCAGCAGGGAGATCGAGGGGAAATCCCCCGGCGGCGGCGGAAGTAGGGTATAGAAGAAGAAGAAGGGTGGATGGGTCACGGGTTGGATTTCTGGGTGGGTTAATGGTTTTTTTTAGGTTGGGTGGGTTGGGTTGTGTTTATATGAGGTGACATGTTTTTCTGACGTGGCATGTCAATTTTTGTTTTTTTTTCGGTTAAAATTGGGTGACTAGGCATTTCTGTTAGCCACATCAACAGTTAACTGACGACACTAATGGAGTCTGACGGAGATTAACGGAGAGTGACCAAATTTGGACTGTTCAACTAATTTAAGTGACTACGAACGTAATAAACGAATTCGAGTGACCAAACATGAAATTTTGTATCAATTCGAGTGACCAAACTTGCAATTCCTAAAAATATTAGAGGTCTTTTCACTCGAAGGAACAAGTGTCAAACGCCGAATTGAAAGAACATGGCAGAATCTTGCGTTCTCCGTCCTTTGATCTACTTCTTCTGGGCTGGCAGCTTCCTTTGTTGGACGGGCTCTCTCTCCATGTACTCCTTCCCTTTCCTCTATACAAATAATCGCCCGCTCCCTCCCCACATTTCCCCATTCTTCGAATTTTCTCCCCCAACAACTCCTCTGTTTTCCTTGTTGCTCGTTTAACAATGGCGGACGCCGTCACTCCGACTCCCCTGCTGAAAGACGAGCTGGACATCGTCATTCCAACAATCCGAAACTTGGATTTCCTGGAGATGTGGAGGCCATTCTTCCAGCAGTACCATCTCATCATCGTCCAAGATGGCGACCCCGCGAAGACCATCAAGGTCCCAGAAGGCTTCGATTACGAGCTCTACAATCGCAACGACATCAACCGGATCCTCGGACCCAAGGCTTCCTGTATTTCCTTCAAGGACTCTGCCTGCCGCTGCTTCGGCTACTTGGTCTCCAAGAAGAAGTACGTCTTCACCATTGACGACGACTGCTTCGTAAGTCACTTCTGGTTTTTGCTTGCCCATTCTGCTTATCTGAATTCCGCGTTGGAATTTCGGAATTCCGATCCCCATTTTGTACGGTTTTGTTTAGATCTGAGCAGATTTTTCGATCTGATTATTTATTTATTTATTTATTTGATACGGGAGAGAGGCCTGCAGACTGCAGTTACCTTTTTGGCCTTGATGGAGGCACAGCCTAACAGTCAACGGGAACGGTCAGATCCAATTTCGGTTTCAGATCTTGATCTCATTCCAGGTTCTGAGGATGCAGATGTTTGTGCGATTGTGTGCCACAATTGTTTAGAATGAATGTAGTAATTTGCTAATGCCGTTTTTGATTATTTGGCGGAGCTGAAATCTTGGTGCTGACTCTCCTGTTGTAATGTAATGTAATGTTATCATCCCTAATGTAGGTTGCCACAGAACCATCCGGGAAGAAGATCAATGCGCTGGAGCAGCACATCAAGAACCTGCTGTGCCCATCAACTCCATTCTTCTTCAACACCCTTTACGACCCATACCGCGGTGGTGCTGACTTCGTCCGAGGCTATCCGTTTAGCCTCCGGGAGGGAGTCCCCACGGCGGTATCCCACGGCCTGTGGCTCAACATCCCTGATTATGACGCCCCCACACAGCTCGTCAAGCCTCTCGAGAGGAACACTAGGTATGTCGATGCTGTAATGACTATTCCAAAGGGTACCCTGTTCCCAATGTGTGGGATGAACCTTGCATTCAACCGTGAGTTGATTGGCCCTGCAATGTACTTTGGTCTAATGGGTGATGGCCAGCCGATCGGGCGTTACGACGATATGTGGGCAGGCTGGTGTACCAAGGTTTGGAAACTTCATTCTCGAGTCCTCTCTATGTGTCAAAACTTAAGGGAAATGTTGATCTTCAATTATTAAAAATTTGCGGCAGGTTATCTGTGACCATCTTGGTTTGGGGGTGAAGACCGGATTGCCTTACATCTACCACAGCAAAGCAAGCAATCCATTTGTTAACCTGAAAAAGGAATACAAAGGGATCTACTGGCAAGAAGAGCTGATCCCATTTTTCCAGTCCGTGGCCCTCCCCAAGGACTGCAACACGGTGCAGAAGTGCTACATTGAGCTGTCGAAGCAAGTAAGAGCCAAGCTTAGCAAAGTTGACGACTACTTTGTGAAGCTGGCTGATGCCATGGTGACCTGGATTGAGGCCTGGGATGAATTGAACCCATCATCTGCCGACTTGTCTAATGGTTCCTCAAAGTAGAGCGTTTGAGCTTTTGTAATGCAGACAGTGGGCGAGAGACTTGCGTAGACCGGAATTGTTATGTCTGAGGTATTATCATTGTTTGAAGAGCCTTTTAGGTTCTTAGCTTTTGGGTTTTGGAGTTGTCTTTCAGAAGGAGGCTGAGTTTTGCCCGTTCTTTTTGCACTTCTGGCTGTCTGACGTACTACTTACTACCAGTTCAGAACAATAAAACACTTTTCGCTACCAATGGATTCTGATCTCTTTAAACAGGTTTTTCGCTCCATGGGTCACACATATTGGCCCCATCGCCATTTTCCTAGTGTTGGTAGTCATTGTTGGTTATGGTTCGGTTATAACATAATTGTTTAGTCAGTAATTGGTTAACCGTTAAGAATTATTTTTATTGTTAACCATATTGTTTATAATAGTCAGTTAATTCTAACCGTATAGTAGATTTTTGGTTATTTTGAAGGTTAATTGGATAATCGTTAAGCAAGTAATTCAATAACGTTATATCAAAATAACTGATTTGTAATCTAACCAACATAAGATCTCTTCAATTGTTCATTTTTGAACTTTTTTTCCAACATATGTATGTGTTATTTTATTAAGCTGTTATTATGGAATAAAAATAATTTAATACAAATATCAATCCAAAATCAACTCAATCCAACAAACTCCTTTGTCATCAGGTTACCAACTTTCTTGACCTTCCGGCACTAGGCAGGTGTCAGCCCCCATACATGTCTTACAACTTTACGGAGATCAACATCATTCTACCGTCAAATTTGATTAAAGAAGCACACAAGAATAAGAGACCCAAAAACAATGACTCATCTCATAAACCCCCACCAAATTATATGGCAGCTTAAATATCACTAATTGTTGTCGAGTTATTGTATGCAAGTCCATCTTTCTATTGTGCTCCTTCCAGAGTCCTTGAAATTATTTTCATTTGAACCAAAGTCATCATTACAACTATGGTAGAAAATGGATCTTGGATGCTTTCGAGCATCCATTATTTTCGGTCTATGTTTGCGGCTCATTGAGACCTATTATTTTCGGCCCTAATTATAAGGATGGTTGGTGACGAGTTTTCTACCACCCCGTGTGGGTCGTCAATTGATTGCACGACTTTCCTAACTACCCCATTTTGAGCCAAGTATAACTCAGAATGACATTGCTAGTATAGTGGTTACCAAAGTCGTATTCCACGGGTTTTGATACCCTAGGTTACTTCTCACTTTGTTGTTGATACAACACCAGGGGTACTTTGTGATCAGAATTACGCAACAACGAATCAATTCAAAGATTGAATTGATTAAACGGAATTTCGAACAAAAAACAAGGATGTTTTTGGGTGTTTTATATAACGGAATCAAATGTGCAATCTTTCACGTGGAAGAAGGCTCGAATGATATAAAGGTAGATGCCCGACCACGCTCAACGCGTTCTTGATCGATACAAGAGCTCAACGAGCTTGGAATCCACCAAAGCTCACACAAGTACGCAAACTTGCACAAAACCAAAGGGTTTGTTTTTCGATTAATCAAAGTCTAACTATTACAACAAAAACTAAAAAGTATTTAAAGAAAAATAAACCTAATACAAACCTAATAGAACTAGGAAACAATTAAGGTAAAAGTCTACACTAAAAGGACACAAAATTTGGGTTTAAACTCCCTTTCTTGAAGCACAAGTAAGCTGCCAGCAACAGTCCAAAAGCAGCTTTCGTACTAACTTCACGCCTTTCGTTCGAGGCCTTCAAGAACTCTAATCCAATTACTTCCCTTTGTACATAAACATACCTAGTTTCATGGTGTGGAAGCCTTTGGACTTGAATCAGATTCATTCTCTTTGAATTGAGCTCCAAAGTAGGATTCACGATCACAGATTTATACTTAACAATTTCCTAGCAGTTTTCCAGTTTTGAGGTAGCAACGTTGAGGCCTTGGAAAACAACAATAATGATATCTTTTGGATCCAAAAAGGATACCATTGGAAATATGGCAACTTTATCTTCAAAAAAAGTCCTTGATCTCCAATTTTCATTGAGCAATTTGTGAGATACGAGCTTCCAAAGTAGGTACCATGAACACGGATTTTGCCTTAGCCAAATTCTGCCCTTCTTCTTCCCAACTTCGATAGCTTCTTCATCAAGTAATTTGGGCTCTTTGATTACCCGATTTGGAATCATATCAGTTGTTATCTAGTCAACCGGTTTAGGTTTTTGGGTTGGAGGTTGATTGGAAGATACTGGTAAAAAAAGCTAAGATAGAAGCAAGGTATTTCGGGATGCCACCCTCGCCCTAGCCTAAGTTTATCGTGCAAATGGCTAACTATGTTGGGTTTGTAGGATAGGATGCAAAACTCTATAATTTGGGGATTTCGATAACTACTCTCCCTCCTCCTTACACGGCCCACGAAGACCCAATGTCACCTCAGTCTAAGTTTACGTGCTAGTGTTGCTCTCATAGTTCATCTCAATAGGTTCAATCTATCATGCATACTAGAGACGTGCTTCAATCAGAATGCCTGCGACTTCTCTAGCATTGTAGGCTAGTAAGGAAGAGTTGGACGAAGTATAATTAAGCATCAATGAAGCATAAATTCACTAAAACAAACATATCCGTTCACCAACCCTAACATAATTACATCCACATTCAAAACCTAAATCTAGGATTTGGGGGGTTTAATTCCTAGTACCTTAGAAACTAACCCATAAAGGGGGGGGGGGGGGAGAAGATACATGGAAAAAAAAAGAAGCCTTGATGTGGGAGAGCTCCCTTCATTCTTCTTCTCCTTTCTTCGACTTCTTTCTCTAACTTTCTCTCCCTTCAAAGTAGAAATCTTCAATCAGTTTCAGCTCTCCAAGTAGGATGGAGGAACCCCTATTTATATGTTTTCAGGATTCAGGTAATTCACGGTCAAGGGGGAAAAGTTTGAGGCCGCGATGTTGGGGGGGGGGGGGGGGGGGGGGGGGGGGGGAAGCTCGAGATCTTGGGCTTGCCGTTTTGCTCTTTGAAGTTGGGAAGTTCGCGGCTCGCGAGTTCACTGTCACGATCCGTAACTCGTGTCCACGATCTTTCTTGCGGGCTCGGATGAAGAAGGTTGTGAGCCGACTATCAAGACTTTCTGCTCCTTCCTTGTTGGCTGCTAAAAATGTTTGTGCTTGGGACCTCTATCTTTGCGGCCATGATCTTTGGCCTGTAGACTGCAATCTCGTTCCTCAGCTTCACGCCCTATGTTCCAGACCGTGATCTTTTATAGGCCGGTGATGACCTTTGGATATATACCATTTCTCTACATTTGTGCACATTTTTGTACCTAAAAATATTCATACATCCAATACACCACAAATACTAACATTTTCTCAAAGGAAAGAATAATGGGTATAATTGGCGATGTGTTGACCTTCAACGCTAAAAGGTGCATTTGAACCTTGCCCTACGCACCCGTGAGAAGGAGAGGTGTTCGGGGGTGGAAAACAGTTAGAAACTTAATTTTAGTCCAAAAGGTAGAAAGTCCCGCACACATGTCTTTACCTAAGTAGCAAACACTATCGACTCACAAATGAGAAAGATAAGAGTAAAATCCGTCATACATTGATAATCCTGATAAATGCAAACTACTCCCTATAAAGCACGCCATAACAACTATCTAGCAATTCAGAGCACAATAAGAGGATAGATGCTAGGAACAAGGTGTTTGGTTAGGTTGATGTGGTGCACAAGTGTATGTCTTTGTTTCCTGGTTTGTATACAATGATGAATCCCATGAGTAGAAAGAAAATAAAAAGAAGAAGGTCACGGGGAAGAAATTTAAAGAAAACTGGACATACCCTCCCTTCTTGGGACTCAATTGGAGTGAAGAAACTGGACACATCGTCTTCCTGGGACTACTACTGCTCGGTAATGGAAATCACGAAGTATGAAATTTAAAGCATGATATTAGACATTGTTTCAAGTCAAAAGAAAGAAAAGCAAAGAAATGAGAGATAGAAAAGTAGGCCCTGGATTCCTAAGACTTAATCCTCCTCGGTATTGAAACTGTTGAGCTCGTTGTCATCATCATCTGTAAGCTCCATATCTTCCGATGCAAGGACATTGTGAATGATCCTCCATTCGGGCTTGAATGAGGTGCTCTTGGTTGTAGCCGGGTAAAAAGTAGATGATGATCCTCATTATTCAGTTTCTCGGTGAAGAACTTCCAAGGATGGTTGCAAACGGCCAGGTTCTCTCCTTGTAAGGCTTGTCCTTTCGGAGTATGTAAGAATACTAGGGCATAGATACCCATTGCCTCGGTAAATTCATTGAAGCTCATCTCTCTCGGCTCCCCTCCGAGGGAAAAATAATCGTCTTGGTGAAATCTCGTTGATGGTGAGCACAAAACATTGGCTGTTGTTAGGAACTCTAGAAGAGGTTCGGCATAGATATTTTCATCCATAGTCAGAAGAGCTTGCTATGTCGGGTTGCGAATGAGGGACTGAATTGGAGTGGCGGCTCCCAATTCTTCATGAAAGTTCCATTAGAAACGACGATGTTCATCAAATGGGTGATGAGCATGGTTGTCATGCCGGCCGGCGTGCCACCGGTTGTACCTGGTTCAAACGATATCGGTCATAAAACTGGCGTGATACCACCGGTATGACCGGCATGATCGATATACGAATCTCTAAGTAAATTGACCTTATTTTAGCGAATTTAATTGATAAAAATTATTTAATTATTTATTTTATGAGTATAAAAGTTAAATATTGATGTTATTTGTTGGTTTCAAGTATAAATATTTAGGTATTGACGTTAAATGTCATGTTTAAATATGAGGATTTATAATTTTATTTGTAATATTGACCGGCATGAACCGGCACAAACCGATATGTGCCACCGGTCGAACCATTCCACTTGCTAAACCGGCACACTGGCATAAATCGGTTTGACAACCTTGGTGATGAGCAAACTGGACATACACTCCCTTTAGAAAAGAGGGACAATAAATCAGTTTAACAACCATGAATATTTCAAAGGGGTGGTGAAAGTGATAGAGGAATATAAGTCAATATGAAAGTGAGGTTGAATTCAAATATACCCAAACATAGACAAAAAAGTTCACTTAAGAATTCCTCAAACACCTTGAGAGCATGAAGATCAAACATGAATTTCACAATGTGTTCAAGGTGTGACCAAGATTGGTATACAAACTAAACATCCCTTAGTCAAGAATTGCAATCATAAGTGAAGAATG